TCCCTGCCATCTTTCTCAACCACCAGCCTGCAACCATGTCGGCGCCAACGAAGCTGGTCCGGCCGCAGCCCGCCGAAGGCCGTCTGCTGCTGGTCTCCAACCGTCTTCCGATCACCATCAAGCGCTCCGAGGAAGGCAAATTCGAGTTCTCCATGTCGTCTGGCGGGCTCGTGAGTGGACTGAGCGGGCTGTCGAAATCAACCACCTTTCAGTGGTATGGATGGCCCGGCTTGGAGGTGCCGGAGGACGAGATTAAGACGCTCAAGACGCAATTGAAAGAGGAACACAATGCGATTCCGATTATGCTCGATGACGAGCTTGCGGACCGCCACTACAACGGCTTTTCGAGTAAGTCAGTTCAGCACAAACACAGCCACCTGAGATGCTGACCCGCAGACTCCATCCTGTGGCCGCTATTCCACTACCACCCAGGCGAGATCACCTTCGACGAGTCGGCATGGAACGCGTACACCGAGGCAAACCGCTTGTTCGCCAAAGCTATCGCGGCAGATGTTGAGGACAATGATATGGTGTGGGTGCACGACTACCACCTGATGCTCCTGCCAGCCATGCTGCGAGAGGAGATTGGAGATAAGAAGAAAAATGTCAAACTGGGCTTCTTCTTGCACACCCCATTCCCGAGCTCTGAGATTTACCGCATCCTGCCCGTCCGGAACGAGATCCTGCTGGGCGTGCTGCACTGCGACCTTATTGGGTTCCACACGTACGACTATGCGCGACACTTTTTAAGCAGCTGTTCCCGCATCCTGTAGGTCTTTTGTACACTTTCACGCATGTTGGTCGTACTGACATGCAATAGCGGCCTCGCAACTACACCCAACGGCGTCGAGTTCCAGGGCAAAGTCATTACCGTCGGCGCGTTCCCCATCGGCATCGATCCCGAAAAGTTTGACGAAGGCCTCAAGAAACCGAAAGTACAAGAGCGCATCGCTGCGTTGGAGAAGAAGTTTCAGGGTGTGAAACTCATTGTTGGGGTGGATCGCTTGGATTACATCAAGGGTGTCCCCCAGAAGCTTCACGCGCTGGAGGTGTTCCTCACCGAGCATCCCGAATGGATCGGCAAGGTCGTCCTTGTCCAAGTCGCTGTGCCGAGCCGTCAAGATGTCGAGGAATACCAGAATCTCCGCGCCGTCGTCAATGAGCTCGTCGGGCGCATCAACGGCAAATTCGGTACCATCGAGTTTATGCCGATCCACTTCATGCACAAGTCGGTTTCGTTCGACGAGCTAATTGCCCTGTACTCTGTCTCTGACGTCTGTCTCGTCTCTTCGACTCGAGATGGTATGAACCTGGTGTCCTACGAGTACATCGCCACTCAGGAAAATCGCCATGGCGTCATGGTTCTGTCTGAGTTCACTGGAGCTGCCCAGAGCTTGAACGGTAGTCTGATCGTCAACCCTTGGAATACCGAAGAGCTCGCAGACGCCATCCACGACGCAGTCACGATGGGAGACGAGCAGCGCAACCTGAACTATCAGAAATTGAGCAAGTACATTAGGAGATACACCAGGTAAGAAGTAAAGTCGTTATCCACAATCCATAGCTAACACCATCTAGCGCCTGGTGGGGCGAGTCTTTTGTCAACGAGCTCAAGCGTATCTCCGAGCAGGCTGAGAGGAAGAGGATCACCCGCCGACCGAACACCGCTGAGGGCAAGCAAGTCAACTTTGCTGTGGACCTCGCCCGTCCTTCCACTGCGCCCATCCCTCTCAACCAGAAGGGTGCTAACAACCCCGATGCACCTCTCCCAGAGGGCGACGGCGCCGCCAACGGAGCTGCATCCGAATTTTTTAAGCAGCCTCCCGCGGCCAACACGTCGTAGCTGCAACCTCTTCAAGTCACTACTCATAACATCGAGACGGAGTTTTTGCAGGAAGGACGTACATATGTGGTCTTCTGTCCTTGTTCCTTGGCGGGTTTTGAACACGAGTTCATTGCATCATGGTCCGGCGCATACGGTGTGCGTAGACTGACGATATCCCCACCTTTCCCTCGAGGGCCGCGGCGCCACTCTAGATTTCCTAAAATGTCGCGAGAAGATTTCCTCTGGCGATGCGCTTCTTTCGTGTCAGTAAGCCAACGATAGCGAATGAATACCCATCAAACATGCATCGGCATCTGCTTGTGAACGTGCCTTTGAAGCTTTCCGGTTGGAGATGGCGCCTTTGAAATGCAATCTCTCCTTCATTACTGTTGGTGTCGTTTACTTCTAGGATCCACCTACTCCATGTTCCGCAAGTGTCTCACATTATTTCGTACAAAACTCATCCATGGAATAAGAAACGCACGATATGCTACTTCATATAGCAATATCAAAACACTAGGCTCCACTAGCGCCTTCAACTGCGTGCAGAGCCTAGAGAAAGACGAGCTTCTCGGAATCCATATCTCCACATCAGCGGTACAACCCCCCCTTCATCAATGTCAAGGCAAGATGACCCCAACGCGCTGCTGGGCAACCTCCTCTTCGAGAACGATTTTAATGGCGGTTCGGAAACATCCTGGGCACTACCAACGCCAACATCGACACCGATTTCTTGTCCGTGCTGCCTGGGTACCTAGCCGACCTGCTGCCTGGGTACCTAGCCGACCTGCTGCCCACCATCGAAGAAACCTCAGCATGACTCCACCTACAGCTACCTACTTGTGATTCTCGGCAAGCGGGCCGCTATCGTCTTCCAGTCTGCGCTCTCGCTCGCGCGAGAAAAATGCCTACCTGCGATGCCCCATGCTCACCACGGAAGTGCATTTCCCATACTTCTATCGTTCTCTTGCATCTAATTAGCCTGGTTTCCACCACCTAATAGTCGGAGTACAGTCTAGCTTCTGCTGTTTACTTGTCTACAACCCACCGCCAGCATCGAATTTATTTGTGGGCTGTCAACGATCGTACTCGCTACTGCTCTTCGTCACCCACAGCGTAAGGTTGCGAAATTCCATCTCGAAAACCTCAAGCCTCTTCTAAATCGCATCACGAAAAACCCCTCATCATTCTCACTCTCTACGGCGGCGCACATGCTAAGCTTGCCTTGCATGTGGTGTACCAGAGTCCTTCTCCTCAAGGCCAACAAGCGAGGTTGATGTTCTTGGGAACTGCTACCTCTATCTCCATGATGATGGCGCCTCTCCGATTGCTTGCGCTTCAGGATATGGGGCTCGACAGATCGTGGAGGGACATGAGTAGTAGGCGCCGTGCGGATGCACAATGAGAGCGCCTCATTCTTAGTCGCGTCTGTGGAGATTTGTGCCTAGTCCCGGCTTGCGGCGGCCATATAAGCCTCGAGTTGGGCCTTTGCCTCCGCATATTGAGCGGAAATGCGAGGTGTTGCCGTGTGTGTAGCGACACAGCGGGCAGGAGTGTACAAGGTTTACAAGGGGAGATGCATTTGGGGGACGCTCTTAGCGAGCTCACGGCTAGGTTCGGAAGGGTGGTGCGGGCCTTCTTCTCGTCATTATATGCATGATTTCTCAATTCTTTTCTTCACCTCACCATCTCACAGCCTATGGTGCATCCAATGCGTCGGTCTCGTCGATGATGTAGGCCATGGTGGAGTGAACTTGGTCTTTTTGTGAGCAAAGGTACGACAGTACCAGGAAAGGCAGGTTTAAGGTTTTCACTGTCCCTGGCTGCATCGGAAGTGGACCGAACACCCCAATGCTGGGTGAGGTGACGTTTGGGGTTCCCTGCAAGCCTCAGCCAGCCGAGTTTGGAGAGCTACGGCAATAGCAGAGAGCTCTGGTTTGCTACACGTCCGCGCCACCTTGGGCCGCCTGCCTGGCCGTTCAACATCTGGCCCAAGGTCTCGCAACCGGTACTCCCGCTAGCCGCACCGTAGCGTTCGCGATAAGAAAGGGGCGGCTCGAGCTAGCCACCAGACATCGAATCCTGCCGCAAAGTAGACGCCCGTCCGGAGGCTAGCCCTCCGCATACTTAGCTCATCGAAAGCACCGAAGCCCGAATACACACTGACGGCAATCGCACACTTTGATCTTTCTGGTATACTGAGCGGAGATAATGAGGTAAAGGAAGAACCCGTAGAAGAGAATGAGACGGATACGGACAGGTGGAAAGCCGAGTAGTGACAGGAGGATCCAAACGTTGCTACCCGCACGAAGTGGCCACGAGTCTTTCGATCGAGAAGTGTTACACAACTTCCTGGGGAAGCTCACCCCAAAGAACAACACCAAGACCTTCGCAAAGGCAGCTTGCCTATACCCACGCCGCGCCCGCTGCGCAACCTCGGTACCGCTCATCACGCGCCGCCGCCGGCCAGCTCAAGCCTAAGAGCCAGCCCTTTGAAATGCTCCTTTGAAGGCTTCGTCGCCCCGCCGGACGTTGCGGAGCAACAACAACTCGTCATAGAGCGAAGTCAGGTCAGCTTTGAAGCTCTAGGCACATCGCATTCTCTTCGAGATGCTGGACATCCCGGCTGAAGACCTCGCACAAGATATCGATTGGTTGCTGCGCGACGAGCGGGTAGACGCCCCGTCGCCCGTGACCGAAGCCCGAGCCACTATACAGTAGTCCTTATAAGTTTGCATATGAAGATGGCAGAAGCATTACGGCCACCCGGAAGACCGCTTGCGAACAAAAGGGCCCACAGACACTACCTAAAGCATGCTACAGCTATTGTTCCGGGTACTTGTAACATCGGGCCGCTCAGCGAGGTTGCATAAAGACGTGGGCGACGGTCTTACGGTGCTAGGTACTCAGGTTCGTAGAGGAGAGTCAAAGCCATAGCCGCGGAGAACGTGTCTGCTTGCATATTCGTACCACGTCTGCACTGCGCATTATCTGTGCAACTAAAGAATCATTACTATGCGAATACAATAGGTTATGTTTTCCAGTCGCAAAACAAGGTTCCTCCACGGATGTCACTACTTGACGCAACCTGCCACGTCCGCGCCTCTCAACCAACTCCACCACCACCAAAAGTAGAACGCAAAAAGATGGATCGGTAGATGATTCCCAAAAAGAATGGACTTGCTGGGAATCGAACCCAGGACCTTTCCCATTTCAGGAAATCAAACGAATGATGCGCTCTGATTTGCTAAGGGAAAATTATACCACTAAACCACAAGCCCTGGCTTTTGAATTATGAGTATTTGTGCTGTTAAGTAATATATATTAAATAAAAAAATTTGAGAGAGAGAGGGAAGGAAAAGCGGACTGCGAGCTGTGCTGGAGTTTTCAAATCAAGCGGGGTAACTGGAAACGACGATGTGGGGCATATTAAAATTTTCACTTAGCGATTGATAAACCTATTCTAAAATTCATCGCGTTCGAGAGGAAATATTACCACTCTTTGTTATGAGAGTATCTTGATGAAATGTTCCGATGAGCAGGCAATTGGTATGGATCGACTACTCTAAGCTGAATTGAGGCGAGATTGAATTGTGTACATGGGATAGCCGGAGGAAAAGCTATCAAGGTGTGCTGATCGGTATTATTACTCTCTTTTGGCTCGCTTCTGTCACAACGCCGGCTCCTAGTAGTTGCGCTCTTGTCGTAGTATCCAGATCCTGTAAACACTTTCTACGGAATGCCCTAAGCACTCAATAATCATATTCTGCGGGGTTAATAATATGCCCTCTCCCCGCCCCAATCTCCTGGTTTGCATCCACCTCTGACAGGGTATTCAAGCGATATATCTCGCCACCTAGTAGGTGTGGACCGTTTATATCCCAACGACAATCTATGAAGTTGGCCTCCCCTGGCACTTGTGCTGCCAAAATTAACGCATTCCGGAATTGCAGCTGCGAGGCATCACCACGGTGATCCTCAGTGACAAACCCAACGTCGAGCACAAGTCAACAACGAGACCTCAATCTTGGTGCTGTTCATCAGTCTGTCCCGAGCTCCACGGATCAGCCAAAAAGTCCAAAACAGCCACAGCCACAGGCTGCAGCGGAAACGGAAACTCATTCAGTGATTGAGCTCCAGGATCAGGTCCCACTGCAGGTTGTAGCGGGTATGCAGGTTCGGTGGGGAAGAAGCTTACAACATCGGCAGTCACAGGCTGCAGCGGGAAGGCGACATCGACAGGGAATAGACCGCCGGGATTGGGGACCATGGGGTCGGCTCCCAAGCTAGGGAGTGGGTCCGAGGGAAGTATGTAGTCCAAGTGACCCGGGCTGAATGTATTTGTCAACGTTTCGGGACCGAATACATTTTCCCATTGGGCGCTGAGGTCGTGCTGCGGAAAGCTATGAGTGGTCTCGAATGTGGCGTCTGTTGCTAAGTTGGACTCGTCTTCGAGGAGGAACTCGCGGATGGTAGCCGGTGCTTGGGGGTCAGCGTCTAGAAGAATGCTGGAAATGAGATCGTACGCTCGCTTGGCGACGGCGTTTCTTGCCCGCATGATTCTGAGCCACCGTAGGAGTTTTGTTATGGATGCTTCGGCGGCCGTAAGGCTGTCCTTTTCGCTTGACTTTCCGTAGGTTATTTCGAGGATCAGGACGGTGAGGGCTTGCATGACTATTTTGAAGTTACATTAGATGATGATATTTGAATGAACAGAAGTGACCCTTACTGCTATGAACGATTGACCACCACGGACCCGTCTCGTATATCCATCGCGGGTTGGGGGGGTCTGGCAGCATTGATGTCATGTCCAACGCAGCACCCACGCAGTCTTCGGCGGTCTTTTGGATGAGTTGCGCGGACTCTCCTGTACGATCCTTGTTATGCGCATTGAGCCGTTGAAGGCAAGGCCGAGTGATGAGTATCTTCGTTTTGTAGTAGTAGAAAACAAAAATCAGTCGGTCTCGCTCCACAATGGCATCCGAAGCTGAGGGTACGGTGCCAAAGCTATGAGGTAGGGCTTGAAGAGCCCAGCTATCCAAAGCAGTCATCAGGGAGGCAACTGTACTCTGCATTTGTCCAGAGGAACAGAGGGCCATTCGTTGGGAGTACAAATGGGTGAGAACATCCTGAGTGATGAGACCAATCATGATGTGAGCATCGAGAAATGGGAGCTTTGCTGTAAGCGCTTTTTGATGTCGGTTTTTCGACAAGTTGTGCGGGAGAGGAACGGCGATGTGTTCGTTGGCCATGACCGAAGGCCGCCCCGTGATGGAGCTTAGAGCACTCTCGACGGCATGCAAGCCCCACCATGTCAGAACCAAGGCCTCTCTCTTCTCAGGGTCTAAAGATTTGTCTCCGTTGCGAAGATGGAGCCCAACTACCATAGCAGACCGGAGAGACATTCCAATCATCGACCAAGCTCTGTCCACAGTTAGCTTGACATAAGCGAAATGGAGTTGAGGTCACCCTACCTGCTCACATGCCCCACAACTAGGAAGTAGAGAGCTAGAAGACCAAGAGCCTGGTGGGATTAGATACTTTGGAGGAAAATAACAGCGTGCATCGCTCACTTGGATGAGGGACCCATCGGGAGCCGAGAGAAAGAGTACCGTGTTCTTGATTCCGAGTAACTGAGAGGCCCTGGATATGTAGACTAGATGATCGCCGTCGATACCTTGCCATTCTGCGTCAACTAAATGGGAGAAGCAGGCGCCAATGGCAAAGACGAGATTGAGCAGTGCTTGCCATTCGTGCGGGACTTGGGGCGGGGTTCCTCTCTCAATGGAGTCATACAACTTCTCAAACTGCTCTTGGAAAGCCATTGGCAGGATTGGGAACCACCTTTGCACAGTTCTTATGTAGCAGTAGAACAGGTTTCTCGCCGTATCCCCATCCGGCAGCTCACGAGGGTCGACGGAGTTATCGAGCTCGATAGAACCATCGTCGAGATAATAGCTTGTGCTCTCCATGTGCTTAGGGGAAGCGTTTTTGATGGATGCGAAAATTCCGAGACGGGGAGGTTGAGTCTGGCTCAGGAAGATCCGTAACCAGTGTATTTCAGACATGGAGCCGACATATCCCGTTTGTCTAGATGACGCACTTCTCAGAAGATTCTCGTCCAGGGTTCCTGATGGCCCTCCCACTTTGGAGTGGTGCTCATGATCATCGAGCGGTGGGTCGACATCGGTAGTCGACAGGATCCTAGTATATTCGTCCGTAATTGAGGGTCCAGGGCTCTCTTGCCCGGGCTGAAGGCTTCCGAATCCATCGTTGGTACCAATGGAATCTGAGCTGTTGGCTGTTATAGAGTACAAATCGCTTTCTTGCGCAGTTGATGACGCCGTTGAATCGCCGCCTTCATTGAAATCGGCCTGTAGTACCATCAGCTGCAGCTTCTATGATAGCTTATCACTGCTAGTGCACCCACTCCTTCGAGCATACGGAATATCTTTCCCTTGTCTTCGACACCAACACGCAAGCTTAGGTCCCTTAACAGCATGACTAGGTTACGGTTCCGGTCGATTTGCCTGCGCGTTTCAGCTACAAGTCTGATCACGATATGGCAAGACCGACAAACGTTTTCAGGCGATCCTTCCGATGCTGCTCGTATACACAAGACACACCATTGCTCTCGCATTGTTTGCAGCATGGCAACTCACCGGTGCATCTCACCTCTTTGACGCATCAGTGTCAGTCGCTCACGGAGAGGTTTCCGACGTACTTCGCTTGCGACAGTTTGTACATGCCTTGCTCACGCGTATGACTTCTTGTTTTGGTCTCGGTGGTGGGTCCGGGCGCATGAGCTTGGGTATTGCCATCTTGTTCTGCCCCCGGTGTGGCCCGGGGTGGGAGCCGCTGTTGTCCATGGGCACGCTTCGATTAACTTGTTGATGCAGCTGAGGACGTTATTATTTCGTAGATAGAATCTCCTGTCGTGTCTCAGTGGTTGCGCAGGGACTCCATCATGCTTAATGGGGGACCAATGGTGGGTGGGACGTGAGCGGCAAACTCGCCCGAGCGAATCATATACCCACAGGTGACATCAAGCAATTGTGGGCTGTTGGGCTGCATGAAGCTTGCTCGCGCGACGACGAACGGCTAACTTGGGCTATTCGGATTATTTAATTAGTTTGAGGTTTCCATCTTCCAAAATATGTAAGCATTTGAGTACATAAAGCGAAAACTCACGCGCACCGGCATGGGCGTTACGCGTGACTAGTCCAATATGTTCTGGCTTGAAGACATGGGCCATTACGGGATACATGTGGATTCGTACAAGAAATAAAACAGCAAAATCAATCCAAATATGTACACGCCCCGACTCAGACGCACGGAGTTGATGCGCAGAGGTTGACGGAAGTCTTTAAAATGTCGAAATACAGGCAGGCATCGGTCGACACTAGGCACGCTGTAAGATGACGAGAGCAGTCCTTTAATTCACAAATGTACGTAAAGAATCAATAGTGAAGTCGTACATAGAGATAAACAATGTGCCAAATGACCTTGGATTGAACCGGCAATACTGAGACGGCAGAAACACGATGAAAACAATACGGTCCTGTTGACGTGGTCGATAAAGACGCGTTGGTCAAAGCCCTCGTTCGATTTTTCCCGAGAACGGCCAAGTTCCAGCGAGCAACTACTCAATCTTCAAGTCTCCGAAGGAATCGTCAAAAGCTGGGCGTTGGTGTGGTATCGTCGTAGCCACTTAGTGCTAGCCAAGGACGCGGATCTGTGCCGTCCGTCGAGAAGCAAGGGCATGGGCTCAGCGAACCGTACGCGCATCAACGCTTGTACCGATCCTTCTGCAGATCTTCAGGTTGCGAACTTCTTTGCACCGCTTGGACGGAAGGCTGGAAAGGTTGCGCCTTTCGTGAGCTACTTTTAGCCTCCCGTATCGCGTTTGTGGTTCGCCCAGCCGCGCAAGTTAGAACTGCGCTTCTGCAAGCCTCCGCGGAAACCTCTCGACCATCGTTAGTTCACTTGCGTCCTGGACTCATGAACGTTCGACACCGCTCGAGACCTGTGCATACCTTCCAGGACCATCGCTGCACATAGTTTGCTGGAGAGTGACTGCCCATCATGCAATATTGGGTGACAGGAAACACACCACAGAATATTCTCCCTCCCCACCGGCTGGCCCTGCAGCCTCGTGCGCCCGGTCACAGCTTTAGGTGACCGCTGGCGAGAGGCCGTCCGGAAGAGATAGTGCCTACGAGGTATCGTACCGTGAAGACGGTTTCCAGAGCCTGACTCACCGGACTGCGGACAACGTCCT